TTTTCGGGTGTCGTCGCAGCTCGCGGAGCCCCTTGTGGGGGTCTCGTGCGCGTCGTGGGCCGTCTGGGAGATATCGCGGGTGTCGCAGACTGATCGTTCGACGGCTCGGGGCCCTCGTGGACCGTCTTGGGCGCCTCCTGGGGCCTCCTTGGATCGCTTTGGGGCGCTTGGAAGCTGCGCCCAGGAGCATGGCCACCCCTGGCCCGACCTGGCCAGGGCGCTTTGCGTCTGGGGGCCCCAAGACGACGCCCCGCGCGCGCGAAGTCGACATGCTGCGAGCGAGGCAGTCGCTAGCGATCCTCGCCCGCCTCAGGCCCGCTGGGCCGGCGATTTCCCCCCGATAAGCATGGCCAGTGTGCTTTGAGGCGCGCGGTGAGGAGCGGGCGAGCGAATTTCGCCGTCTCCTTCTCTCTTCCTCTCCTGCTGCTGCTTCCTCTTCTTTCCCCCTCCCGCTGTTGCTGCGGGCCTTCCTGCTGCTGCTGGCCCCTCCTCTATCTCGCTTCCTCGCCGTCGCTGATGTTGCGCCGGGCATGCCTGCTTGGCGCGCCGGCGCGCCGCGCGGGCCCGCGATTCTGCGCCTGCGATTTCGCGCGCGACTGCGCCCGCGATTTCGCCCGCGATTTCGGCCGCGATTTCGGGCGCGATTATCGCCGTGGTTTTCGCTCGCGATTCCGCGCCCCGCTCTGGAGCCCCAGGGGGCCGCCCGCGATTTTGAGCGTGATTTTCTTTTTATTGATTTAATTGCGAGACAAGTCGTGGTCAGAAAAGTGTGCCCCCGCAGAAGGGGGGCCGAGAAAGTCGGCCAAATCGGCGCCAGAAAGTGAGCGCAACGGCGGCCGAACGAGCGGGGGGAGGAGGGCGCCGCGGAGAAGCGGCGGGGGGGATCGGGGAGGGGGCCCGGGGCTCCCCCAGCGGCCCCCGCCAAGTTGGAGAGGATGTCCTCGCGGCGGGCTGCGCTGCCTCGCGCGGCTGGTTCGCGATTGCGCCGCCGCGCCCGCGGCCGCTGAGGCCTCGGGGCCGGCGCCTGCCGTCGGGCCCCTTTTCTCCGCCGCCAGCGCAGCCGCGCGCCATGGCTCCGAAGGGGGAGCGGCGGGCCGTGGCCCCTAGTTGTGGTGGAGACTGCGCCGGCGACCCCCGCGCCCGCGGCGGGCTCCTGGAGCGCCGCCCCCCAGGGGCGGAGCTTGCTCTCGCCGGCTAACGTGGGTCGCGGCAAGGAATGAACGCGCGCTCTTAAAACAATCTATGGAGCCATCGATGATCAACTAAAGCGGTAAACGTATGAATGAAGTCGCGCCGCCTAATCAAACCCAAACCAAACATTTCGTAAACGCAGAATTCGGTTTACTGAATTCAAAACGGATTTTCTACATCCGGGGCCATTTCTCTAAGTCTCAGGTCCTATCAGTACCGCGGCCTGAGTGGCTCGACCATGCTCGACTTGCGCGGGCGCGAGATCCAACGGCCTCTGACCCCCCGCCAATTCCCCATGCAGCGCTCGCGCTCGATCATTTCTTCTTCATGTGGGGTCTCCAAAGTGGCTCTTTTCTGTGGTTCGTCGGTCCAGCGCTGGCGCGTTCCATCTTGAATCAGCTTGGGAGGTGTTTCTCCCGCGCAGGCTTTCGGCCGCGCGGTCGGGGCAATGCCTGGCACTTCGATGGCCGCGCGCGCGCGCCGATTCCGTTTGCGCATCGACGGCTGCGCGTTTCGAGGCTCGCGCGGGCGCTATGTCCAGCGACCGCGGAACGAAACATCATCGCGGCCGAGTGGCGGCCTGGCTCGGGGGCCGCGTTGGTCGTTTTTCCGCGGCGCGCCGGGCGCGATTCAATGGCGGGGACAGGCAGCGCGCGGCCATTCGAGAACGCGCGGGCGTTCCATGATGTGTCCCCGTGGTCCAGCTTGAGGGAACCATTTCGAAATCGTTGCGGCTCCTTGGGGAGGCTCTGCTTGGCAATCAGTGGATGTGCGCGGGCTTCTGGAGAGGCGCAGGCGGAGGGCGCAGCCAGCGCAGAGGTCGTTGTTGTACGTGCTGCGGTGGTGCATGCAGGGCGCAGGTGGTCCTTCACCTTCGCGCGGACCTTGGTTGTCGCAGTTCCAGCTGTGGACGTGGTGGTAATCCGCCCGGTTGCTCCATGACGTTGGGGTTTTGCCATCGGGACAGCGGACCCGCTTGCGCTCGGCTGTCCGTTTCCGCGCGCGCCGCGAAGCCTTCGGCGTGGCGGGCGTCTCGGCGGCGTCCTCGGCAGCGTTGCCGGCCTCCGGGGTGTCTCGGGCAGTCTGGCAGAGGGTGGCGCTCTGGGCGCGCCTCGGCGACGGTGTCCTCGCAGGTGCCGTGGACGATACTGGAATGGCAGTGCTTGTTTCACGTTTTCGCCTCCGTTGCGGGGTTCTATCCATGTCCGCCGCCTGGGGGATCGATTTCTGAAGATCTCAGCCCCTCGGGCCCCAGGGCATCGGATCTCCCCGCCTCGAGTCGCCGCCGACTACGTATTCCACATGTGGGAAGCCGACTTGGCGGCCGCATAGGAAACGTAGTCGATTCGTCGAGCAGCTTGGTGGCTCTGATGGTGCCGGTTGGTGAAACGCATCCGCGAACGCTGGAGAAGTCCAGTGCCTTGTGGCGGTCGATGTGCGGGATCGAACTGGGCGCGTCATGTTAAGCGCGTCCCAGTCCCCGAACGTCAACGTCCTGAGCATTTCCGAGCCTCACGCCCCGCGGGGCGGAACGACACATTATCCGCTTGCCTGGCACAGCGTGTCGCTGGGGCCGCTGGGACACGCTAAGCAAAGGTTCCTGACTGTAGATTTTCCGATAACTTCCGCCGGTCTGGAGGCCGTCGTGGGCGTCGGAGCGGGCCTGCTCCGAGGCTTTCCCCGGCACAGTCGCGCCCGTGGCTTCGGGGGGGCGGACGGCCCGGCAGGGCCCCAGCGGGCTGTGAGGGCAGAGGCCACGGCGGACGGTGGCGGTGCTTGGTGCCCAACGGCTCCTGTGTGTCCATCCCCGGGCTAGCGGACCGGTCTTGCATACGCTTCGGAGCGTGTCTTCGGACGTAAGAGGGCACAGGAAACTTGATGGCCCGCGCATGCGTGCAGAAACCGTTCGCAGGGCGGTCGGAGGCGTGGCTACGGAAGCTGCAGACGGTGCCCCTGCCACAGACGGTGTAACTGTGGGAGGCGCTGATTCTGGCTGTCTGGCAGCAGAGGGCGCAGCCGTAGACGTCGCCCGCTCCTGAGACTGGTGTCGCTTCTCGTGCCCGACACTTTGTTCGACACGGATGTGACACGGATCCGACGAGTAGTACATGGATTCGACGCGGACTCGGCGCGGATAAGGCCGCGGCGAGACAGATCGGGGGAGCGTAAGACCCGGGTTTGCCAGGACTCGGGTTCGCCATCGTTTTTTGACGACCGCGCCTCGGATTTTGACGAGGAGGAGTTTCGTGGGATGTCTGCAGCGGGAGGCCTCGTCAAAATGCAGGCTCGGCCTCGTCATTTTCTTGACGACCTCGTCGGGGATTTCCGAGTCCCCTGTACCCAGGTCTTACGTCCCCTTGAACAGACAAGGCCCCCCCGAGGATGCAACGCCCTGCAGCGTGTCCGGCGGTGCGCTCGCGGTCGCCGCGGCCCAAGTCTGGGGGCGCAGTGCGCGCTGGCCGTTGGGCGCCCCGCCTGGCCGTCCGCCCTCTGGCGGGACCCCTCCCCTCTCGCCCTCTCTGATGAGGCTGTCGCCCTCCTCCTCCTCCTCCTCCTGATCCTCCTCCTCCTCCTCCTCCTGATCCTCCTCTCTAGGCATCTTCACTGGGGTCGGAGCAGATGGGGTCAGAGGATCGTGCCGCATCGACGATGGACTGGCGATGCGGCTCGATGTGGAGCCCGATGTGCTTCACGTCGACGTCGCCGATGCATCGCCCACGTCGACGATGCATCGCCAGTGCATCGCCGATCAGTCGCCGATGCATCGCCGATGTATCGGCTCCTCCTCTTCCTCCGCGGGCTTCTGCTCCTCCTCCGTCACTTTTCTTTATGCGCAGCCCATCCCTGTCTCACCCCTGGACGTGTCGGTAGGGGAGGCAGGGCGTGGCGCTTGAGACGTCCTGAAACTTGAGATTTTTCAATAGCTCGGAATTTGCAGCTGTCTCACGGATTGAGGGGCATGTTGCTCTCCTCTCAGCGCCGCGCGCTCTTGTCTTAAGTCGGGCCTGTCCCTCTACAGGAGGAATATTCAAAAAAGTCAGGGGGGCTTATGGAAAAAATGGTTTCGACTACTTTCGACTATTTGTGAATATTCTTGACTATTCCTTTTTTCGTCCAAGATCTGCCTGTAGAGGGACACGCCCGACCTAACACTTGTCTGAAGAGTTTGCAAAAGCGCTTCCAGGATGGAGGACAAGTGGTTTTCACACATTGGGCTCTCGCCGTCGCGCCGCTCTTCTTCGTCTCCAGAGGTTGCAACAGTTTTGGGGATGGATGGCGAGGGCGGTTCATTGCAAAGTGTGATTCTCGCCCAGGTGGCGCGCACATTTGTTTTCAAAGCTTGCGACAGTCTTTCGGGTCTTTCGTACTGATGGAGCCCCAGGAATGGTATTCAGTTCCGGGACAGATGTTCTGGCACGACTTAGGACTGTAATGACGCACTTGTCACGTTGATCCGCGTTGATCTGCGGCATTGAAGTCCCATGAATAGTCTCTTGGTTCGATCGAGGATTCCCACACGGTTGTCTTCTAATAGGCCACTTCCGGCAGTGGCAGTAAATTCTTGTATGGTAACGATTTATTGCAACATCGTTGATGCATCTTGGATTTACACTGGTCCTCCTCTTCCTTCTCCTCTTCCTCCTTCTCCTCCTCCCTCTCTTTCTCTTCTCCTCGTCCTCCTCCTCGTCCTCCGCGTCCTTGTCCTCCTTTCTCCTCCCGCCTTCCCTGTCGCCGTTCTGGCCCAAGCGCACGCCCCCAAAGGCGGGGCACGCGACTGAGGCGAGGAGTGCGGCCCGCCAAAGGCGGTGATGTTCCGCAATCGAAGGGTGGTTGCCGTGGCGGAGAAGGTCAGCGACGAAATCCGAACCCGACAGACCACCCCGAGTCGAGAAAATGTCACGGTTGAAGGTTCCGGACAGTTTTCGGCCTGTGCCCGCCCGTATATATTGGGCCCCCGGACCGTGAGAACACGACTTAGGACGAAAAGCCGGTCTGGGGGAGGTGTCGAGACAGCTTGGGGTCCACGTTGGGCAAAGTGATCGTTTTTTGATTGATTGTTTTGCCGATCGGCGCGGGCCCTCGCCCCCCCCCTCCCCCCCCTTCCATGGAATAACAACTATTTGCTGTTTTTGGCGCCTGTTTCGGGCAGGTGGAGTTTCCCCCAGAGGCCACACTCTTGCAAACGGTCGCACTAAGCAGAGGTCTGGAGCCAGACCCCCCCTCTCCCCCCGCCCCTTCGGTCCAATGTCGAAACGTCGAGTACGAAAACGCTCACAAAGTCACGTCGTCGGGGGTCTGGGTTTGTTTCTGCCGCCCATCGATTTGGATCGGCATGCGGCTTGCCAGTGAGGGGCCACTTCTCTTCGCGCCTGCTCACCTCTTGAGATCACCCGCTGGTGCTAAGCCGGGCCTGTCCCTCTACAGGGGGAAGATCCAAACATACCCAAAACAATTGTCGGGGGACGATTTCTTGACCATCTTTGACCATTTTTGGATTCTTTTTTGGAGTACTTCTTATTTTCGTTGAAAATCTGCCTCTAGGGGGACATGCCCGACTCAACCAGTCACTGGCGTCCTGGGGCCCTCACGGTGTGGACACGTACGGGGCAGGGCTTACGTCTGGCTGCCCGGCATGCCTCCGGGGAGCCAGATCTGCAGGAGGCGAGCCCGCGCGCGGAGGTGGCGATGACCATCTCGGTGGAGGACCGCCGCCGGAGACACGTCCACATCCACCGCCGTGGGAGCCTTCTCCCATCCCCCCTGGGCCTCGAGGGGCGGTGAACGCGGACATCTGCCCACCCTTGTGGGCGGGGAGGCGTCCACGCATTTTTTCATCACCACACTGCACTGCCGGGTCCTCGCTTTGAAATGGCAGCGCCCCGCGTCTCTCTCACTCCTCCTCCTTATCCCCTTCCTCCCTCCTCCATCCTCCTCGCTTCCTCCTCCTCCACCTCCTCCATCATCATCATCAGCATCATCAGCATCATCATCACCACCGTCATCCTCATTCTTATCATCAGCACCATCGTCGTCGTCATCATCATCATCCTCGTCGTCGTCATCATCACCATCACCATCATCGTCATCATGATCGCAGTCCTCATCACCATCATCGCCACCCATGTCGGCACACCCCTCACACGTTTCGCGGCCCGATAGTGAGGTCCACCCAAGGCCCCAGTGGCGCCGTCCATAAGCGACCGCGCCGCACACTTTGGCACACCCCTCACACGTATCGTGGCCCCATATGGAGCCCCACCCCAAGGCCCCACGGGCACCGTCCACATGCGTCCGCCGCTCCGTGGCCCCATGGGGAACTCCATCCAAGGCCCCAGTGGCATTGCCCACATGCGTCCGCGCCACCCTTGTCGGCACAACCTTCACACGCTTCGTGGCTCCATAGGGAGCTCCATCGAAGCGCTGCGTTAGCCCGCGCACAGCAGCTGGGTGAGGCAGCCAGGGGCGAAGGCTCCTTAAGGCAACTGGCCGAAGAGATGTGCGAGGAGGCTTGGAGCGCGAGCAGGCAACGCAGGGTGGCCTTGGTCGAGCACCTCCAAATGCGCAGGGAGTTCGACACCCAGGAGGGCCAGGGAAACGGCGCTAGCCCGTCACAGGAGGACTTTCGAGCGGATGCGCAACGAGTTCAGGGAGCTGGCTGGAGCTGCTCGGGAACTGCTCGGCAACAGGGCGCACACAGAGGCGTGCTATGATGACGAGGGCGGGGGCGAGGACGGGACGCGTCTCAGCCGCATGCCCGGCACGCCAATGGCTTCAATGTCGACTGCGTCAGGTTCATCGTCTTCAGATGCCGCACTCACCCAGCCAGAAAGGGCTGAGATCTCCGTGGCGAGGCATCTCACGCGGAGGACCGGTGTGAGCCTGCCCCGCCTGACGTATTCCGCACGGAAATCGGCTGGAGGGGTGGCGGAGCGCATCACGCGTGACAGGTCTTCCGCGTGCAGCTTGGAAGGATGAGATCAACGACCCCGTCATGGCGCAGCAGTGCCAGGGGCCGCGTCTGCTTCCCCCTCTGTCGTGAAGGCTAAAGAGGACGAGACCAACGACATGGGCTGGCCGCCCTGCCCCCTCGTGGCGGACACCGCGAAGGCCAGGTCCGACGACCCCTGCGCGGAGGCAGAAGGAGCGCTTCCCGCGGGGGCCGACGGTGTGCTGCCTCAGGAAGGCCACGACACCAGTGGCTGAGCGCGGGCGCCCAGGTCCTGACGGAGGGGCGCCCGACACTGCGAGGGGGGCTTCGACGGCAGGGGACGGAGAGATCGGGCGCTCAGGACCCCGCGAGGATGTCGTGGGATCGTGGCTTGGAGTTGCAGAATGAGGCAAACAGCATGGCGCTGGCGGCGTAGAGGACTCACGCTTCACGAAGGACAGTGGCATGCAGCATTTCTCGGGGAATGACGTGGGCGCGGCGAGTGCGGCGGCTCCATGGGCAGCGGCTCCTGCGGCGGGTCCGCGGCCCGACGCTCGCTGTCTCGCGGGGGCAGACGGCGGGCAGGGCGGAGCCCGTTGCGACCCCTTGTGCGGCCTTGCGGGAGGCTGGCCAAGAGGGAGGTGAGGGATCCCTGTGTGTCGAACTGGCCGGAGGGCCCGAGGTGAGATCGGCGACAATCTCAATGGCGCGGACTACTGGGGCTGCCATCTGGGCCAGGTCAGGCGTTGAGGGCACGCGCATCGGGATCAGTGGAGATCTTGAGCCCCGAGGCGATGGCCTCGGAGCCCTTGCTGGAGGAGTGGTCGATGTCGCCGCTGCAGGCATGCGCGGTGAGACACTTGAGGCGGCTGCTGATCGCGGGCAGGGCGGTTCGGGATGGCGCGGCTGCGGCGGGTGCGGCGGCGCCATGGAACGCCGCTCTCACGTCGCCTGACCTTGGCAGCCGCGCGAAAGTACGCTCTCAGACTGCATCGGTGGCGCGCGCGGCTGGGGCGCCCGCCTGGGGTGGGCCAGACTTTGAGGGCGCCCGTGCAATTGCCCTTGCCGACGGCAGAGGGCGCGTGCCGCAATGCAGCGGCGGCAGGGCCATCTCTGGATGGGGTGGGCGCCCCCGTCTCAGGCATGCGCCGCGAGGCGGTTGATGCCGCGGCGGTCCGGGGGGGGGGGGGGGGGCGCTGATGGAGAGGCGGGCGTGTGCGGCGGAGAAGCCGCGCAGGGCATTCCGGCGACCGGGAGGTGCCAGTGCGAGTGGCAGGCGGCCAGGGCCTGGCGGTGACGCTGGGGCGGGGGCCGCCGAGCCTATGGCCGCGCCTGCGCCGGGGCCGGCCATGGTGCCAGCGGCAGCGGCGGCAGCAGCTGCGCGGGCCGAAGGGGTGCAAGCGGGGGCCCGACGCGCTGGGCCCGAGGGCTGCTGGCACGAGGCCGCGCGCCGCGTGCCATCGAGACTTGCTGCTAGGGCTCGGCGTGGCGGCGTTCGCCGCTGGAGCCCGCGGAGCGGAGGCGGGGGCGCGGCCCGCGGCAGAACCGGCCGCTGGCGACGCCAAACCAGAGGGCGGCTGGGGGCCAGTCGAGCAGGGGAGTTCCCCAGCCAGCGCGGGCGATGACCGCGCGATGGTGGGCCTGAAGAAGTGCGTCGGCAGAGGCGGGGGGCCCTGGCGCCGGGGCTGGGGGCCGGCCCTGGCTGCCCGTCAGCGAGCGCGGCAGGGCGGCGGGCGCGCGCCGCTGAGTGCGGGGCCGCTGCGTCGGCGTTCCGCGGTGAGGCGGCCGCCCTGGTGGCCGCGCGTGCCGAGAGCGACTCGGCCGACGCCAGCTCTGGCAGGGGGGCGCCTGAGGATTGGCCCCCCTCTCTTGCGATGCCCCCTGACGCGCTGCGGCCGCCCTTGAGGGGGGGGGGGGGGCGATGTCCCTGTCGCGGCTGTGTCGGCTGCCGCGGCGCAGGGGGGTCTGGAGCGCGGCCGTCGGTTGGTTGCCGGGCTAGGGTTTGTGATGCGTCGGCTCGGGGGGGCCTGTGTGCCGCGCGGGGCGAGGCGGCTCCGGGGCGTCTGCGCCGGGGTGCTGCCGCCCGCGTCTGAGTCCAACCCTGCTTGGCGAACGATGGGGGCTCCGCATGGGCCGCCTGCTGCTGCAGGAGCGGCGCCCGACCGCAGTTGGGCGCCTGGGCGCCGTCATTGGGGTTCCGTAGGGGCGCCTTTGGCTGGGCCCCTGGGCGTCTAGGTGTCGGCGCGGTTTTGCGGGCCTGCGGTGGCGGCCCTTGGTCCCAGCGCTCGTGTGTGCACTTGTGCTAGGGATTGGCTGGCGGGCCCTGTGGCCGGCTTCTGTTCTCGGGTGAGGCCCGCGTCCGGCCTCGGCGCGAGCCTTCGGCTGGCCGTCTAGTTCGACATTCTGTTGTCCGCAAGTTGCGCCAGACTTGCGAGCGCACATGCGCGCGCGCGCAAACGCGCGCGCGCGCTTTCATGCGCTCGCGCGCGCGCAGGGCGCGCGCAAACGCGCGCAAACGCGCGCGCGCGAGCGCGCGCGCGCCCATCCACGCGCGCGCGCGCGCCCGCGAGCTCCCGCGCGCCCTCGCGCCCCGCGCGCGCACCTAAGCGCGCGCACTCGCGCGCGCTCGCGCCCGCGCACCTTCGCGCCCGCGCGCCCGTGCACCCGCGCGCCCGCGCGTTCCCGCTCGACGCGCGCCCGCGCACTCGCGCGCGCGCGTAGACGCGCGCGCGCGCGTGCGCGAGACCCCCCGCGCACCCGCGCGCCCGCGCGCCCGCTCGCCCTCGCGCCCGCGCGCCCGCGCGCCCTCGCGCCGGCGCGCCCGTGCACCTGCGCGCCCGCGCGCGCGCAATCGCGCGCGCGCGAGCGCGCGCACTCACGCACGCACGCACGCGCGCAAGCAAGCACGCACGCACGCACGCACACACGCACGCACGCGCGCGCGCGCGCACACGCACGCACGCACGCACACACAGACACACACACAAACACCACACACACACACTCACGCACACATGCGCGCCTATACACGCGCACACGCGCACGCGCGCACAGAGGACTCACGCACCACGGCGCGCACACCACAACACGCACACCGCGCGCGCACATATACATACACATACGCAAATACATACCAATACACATATGACATGCAAAGAGCACATACACATACACGTACACATACACATACCCACCCCCAAACACAAACACAGCACGCACAAACACGCACGCGCACACGCACCCACGCACGCGCACGCGCACGCGCGCGCGTTCATGGTCACGCGCGCACGCGCACGCGCGCACGCGCGCGAGAAAGCGCGTGCACGAACGCGCGCGCACACGCACGCGCGCTAACACACACGCGTGCACACGCGCATAGGCGCACACGCACACATACAACCGCACACACGCACACGCACACGCGCGCGCACACGCACACGCACACACACGTACACACGCACCTGCACACGAACACGCGCGCGCGCACAAGCACGCGCACACGCACGCGCACACGCACGCGCGCACGCACGCACACACGCGCACTCACACTCGCATGCGCACGCACACGCACGCGCCCACGCGCGCGCACGCGCACGCGCACGCGTACGCGCACACGCACGTGCACACGCACACGCACGCGCGCACGCACGCGCACGCGCACACGCACACGCACGATCACACACACGCACGCGTATACTCACACGCGCACGCACGCGCGCACGATCACGCGCACGCACGCGCGCGCACGCGCTCATGCACGCGCACACGCACGCGC